ATATATATATATATATATTTTTTTTTTTACAGGCTGAAGAGGATTCTAAAATAAGAGCTGGTATTAATATTGTCATTAGCGGAGAAATACTGGAGAGACGCACTTGAAAATCACGAGCCAAACAAGGACAGCTGACGCAGCGGTGCGGGGCTGCAGAATCTGGGGGAGGGAAGGCTGCAGGGCGCGCCCAGAACGAAGACGACCGCGCAGGACACTCCAAGAAGCGAAGCGCACTAGCTCACAACTCACGCCAGGACCGTGCATCCGCGCGGGCCAACGACTCAACACAGACCGGCGGTGTGAGCGAAGCATCTGGATTAACCAACGAGCTGCATTTCTACCAACAAAACTCGGTTAGAAAACAAGCCAGAAAAAGGAATGTCCACCGCCGCTGCAAACAGCGTTACCATCACAGCTAGAAACGCCCCGAAGGCTGCACTGAGCATCATGAGCGCATGCCTTCCCAGGGCAGCATCTCCAAACCCGGCCCGAGTTCTACTGGGAGATGTTAAAATCCGCTCCTTGGTGGAGAATGAGGTCTCTCCGACAAAGAGTTATGACCAAAGACCAAGAAGTAACTGTGCATGTGGGTGACACCTCGAGACGGCATCACTGGGAGGTGGCTCCACCTCGAGGGGTCCCGTGGGGGGCACGTGGGACGCGTCCCCCCGGGGCCATCAGGCGCGGAGCTGGCCTGCTACCCCGGTCCGGGCAGGGATTCCAGAGTCTGGGCTCTTTCCACGGTCCCCTGCAAACCCACTGCCCACCTGATACATTCAGAACGTCCGAAGTCCAGACAGATGAACAATGACAGGCAAGCGGTCTCACACGATATTTAAAACAGGCTCTAAGGGGCGCCTGGGGGGCTCAGTCGTTGGGCGTCTGCCTCAGCTCAGGTCATGATCCCAGGGTCCTGGGATCGAGCCCCGCATCGGGCTCCCTGCTCCACGGGAAGCCTGCTTCCCCCTCTCCCACTCCCCCTGCTTGTGTTCCCTCTCTCGCTGTGTCTCCCTCTGTCAAATAAATAAATAAAATCTTAATAAATAAATAAATAAATAAATAAGCAAGCTCTAAGACGCCAAGACTCGTGATAGCAGGGCAGGAGGAGAGGGATGGAAATGTGGGTGCATGGAGGCTCAGGATCAGGCCCGGCTTTTCTGAGATCTGGAGGAAGAGAGGGGTCCCTGACAGACGCAGGGCAGTAACTGAGTACCATTTGAAAAAGCTTACAGAATTCATCTAACTTCTGTCCGGACAGACGACAGGAGCCTAATGATAAAACAGCCACCTCTGCTCTGTGCCAGGCCCCCTGCTAAGTAGCCGAGAGACCTTACTTCCTTCAGTCCCCGAGGACCAGAAGGTGAACACTGTATTCCACAGAGAAACTGAGGCTTGCGGGGGGGGGGGGGGGGGGGGGGGAAGGGACTGGTTCGGGGTCCTTCCGCCAGTGTCCCTCAGTGTGACCCGCTCCCCACTCCCTCCCTGCACGCCTGCTCGGTGTGCTGCCCCCCCTCGCGGGTCACCCCCGGGCGAGCTCCACACCTCCTGCCGGGTCCCTGCCTCAGCTTCTCTCAGTTGGCCTGCAGCTATGGCCATCAGACTACGACTCTGCAGGGTTCCCTCCTCCGGGCCTGTGTGCATGGCTACGAAATGGGGCGGTGAGTGTGTGACAGTGGCTGTACCGCAGGGCTGGCCAGTGCACCTCTTCTCTGGATGCCTGCCCCTCTGGCAGCCCCCGGCCCAGCGGGGTGCAGACTCCGAGGCTGGGGAACGGGCTGCTTCCGGCCCTGCGCGGCAGCAGAGAAGGCGCGACGCCCAGCCCCCATCCTGGCCGCGGCTCCCTGCCTTCATCCTCCTCCAGGGCACACGAGGCGGGGACAGGGCTGTGGGTAGAGCCGCCGGAGCCGCCCCCGAGACCTCTCTCTGGGACACGCAGGGACCCCAGCAGTGGGCCTGCTCCCAACACCCCGAACAGTCCTGCCACCCAGGCAGGGTTCTCACACCGGACACTGGGCAAGCCCTCGGCCAAGGGCAGCCGCAGGAACCCGCGTCTTTCCGTCCCCTGCTGTCCCGTAGCCCTGCCACAGGACGGCCCGAGACTGTCGGGGACCTCACCTGTCCGAGGGCGCCGGAGGGCTCCGGGAGGCCCCTGCTCGCTTTCCAGGACCACGTGCCCAGACCACGCCCAACGCCAGGAAACGGCCCCGCGCTCCAAACCAGGTGCCGCAGGGCCAGGCCATTCGCCGAGCCCCTCCATCCACCTCCCAGCTTCCATCAGCTCCCTCGGGGAGCCCCGAGTAAAGCCCACCCCAGGGCCCGACCCACCCAGCACTTGGCATCCCAAATCCAGGCCCCCTTGGGTGAGGATGCCCAGGGAGAAATCTCAGACGCCGGAGTCCCAGGGGCCACCCACGCCCCCTGACCTTCTTGGTGTAGCCCATGGCCTTCAGGACAGAGTGATTCAAGGTCTCCAAGGAGGCCAAGATGTCCTCATAATCCCCCATGTGGTCCACGAAGTAATCTGAGGGAAGGGAAAGCAAAGGTCAGGGCGAGAGGCGCAGGACCCCACGCCACCCCTCGGGCCTCCCAGCAGTCCCCCCTGGGCCCCCAGCACTCCCCCGAGGCCCACCCCGCCACCCCAGTCCTGGCCCCTGCAGAGCTGGGCACCTACCGCACAGCTCCTTGGTGTCCACGTGGCTGCAGAGAGAAGGAGGGAGACTCAGGAGGCCCATCCCGTCTGCGCTCCCCTCCGCGGCCCCGGGCTGCCGCCACACCCTATCTGTCCTCATCCTCCATGCTGGCCCCGTGAGCCCTGCTTCGCAGATGAGGTCAAGGATGCCAGCCCTTCCAAGGACGGAGCAGGGCCCACATCTGCGTGTCCTCTGACCCCACCACCACTCACTTCCTCTCCCCCACTCTACTGCCCCTGTCATGAGCATATAGGACCCGGAATGGGGCTAAGCCAGGGGCTGGGAGAAGGGAGGGAATGGACAGAAGGTGGGGGGCCCATGACTAGTACAGGCTTCCCCCGGGGCATCCCCATCTGTTGGGTCCTGGGACAGCCCTACCCTTGCCCTGGGGTCCCGTGTCCCCATTCCTACACCCTGGAGAGGATTCTGTGCTTCCTCAGAGGAGACTAAGCCCCAGAATGCCACCCATGCTGGGGAAGGTGCATGCAGCCTCAGAGCAGAGACGTGGTGGTGGGGTGTGCCAGGGGCAGATGCCAAGGGACCCGAGTGTCTGTGCAGGTTCTGATGACCTGGCCCTTTCTGGGCCCCACTTCCTTCACTGAGAGAGGAGGGGCTGCCCTGGGCTGGAGAGCGCCTGGAACCCCAGGTCAGTAAGATGTGTCTGGGAGAAGGCTCCTATGGCCAAATAAATCTGGGTTCAGAGGCTTTGGAAGCCCTGTCTTGGAGCTTTCTCCAAGTCACATCCCATATTAAACGTTCTGACAAGTCCTGCAGAAAGGAAGTCTGTTTAATTGTGCTTAAAGAGGATTTCAACCAAAGCCTCCTCCCTTCCCCCCTCCCCACCCAGCTGGCCCAACACAAAAGGCACCAGGACAATGAAAAAACCAAGGGGCACCCTGGCCCTTTGAAAACTCCCTGGGGGACGGCAGGAAGCTCTCAGAAACCTCCATCTGTTGGCAGAAACCTAGCCCTTCACGGGGTCTGCAGCAGGAAGCTGTTTCCAGGGGCCTTCCCCAGACAGGGACACCTGCCCACCCTGGCCCCCAGCCTACACGGGGGCGACACTCTCAGCCCCAACCTCTGGTCCAGGACACCACTGTGCTGGGTCCCTTGCAGGCATGCGTGGTGGCAGCTCCTTGTCCAGACCACCTCCTGCCTGTCTCAGGGGACCCCAGCTCATCAGACCTGCTCCAAGCAGCATCCCCGAACTCTGGTCCCCATGCCTGCGTGGGCCCGAGGAAAGGGATGGGCTGCGGGGTGGAGCAGGGGGCCGGGCCTCACCCTGCCTGGGGAATCCCAGGAGACGATGAGGTGGTGGGGTCGGTAAGTATGCACTTGGCTCGGGAATGGGTCAGGCCAGAAGTTTTGTTAGTTCTGAGATGCAAGTTCGGGGGGTTACGACGGGAGTTAGCTGGATAGAGAGAGGCGGGGTTAAACTCAGAGCGACGAATGGTATCTGGTCCGTTTGGTTTAAGACAGGACCAGTGAGGATCAAGGTCACGGAGTTCACATCGGGACTGGGGATGAGCAAGAGGTGCCGGGGTCAGAACTGGGCTGAGTGGGCAGGAGGCGGAGGTCAATACCAACTTTCCCTTTTCATTACCCTGTGGACACGCTGCAGAATCGAGGGTCTATCCCTCCTTAGCCACGTGTGTTCAGGAAAGACCAACGTGCCCACTCCCCAGGTCACCCCGGCTGGTGGGGGCCAAACAGATCAGACTTTTGGGTCAGCGAGTGTGGGGAAGTTTCGGGTCTCCTGTCCCTCTGGGGGAGTGGGAGACAGAGACGGATCACCTCGCTGAGGGGAAGACGGTCCTCCCCAGACCCACTGCGCGCCCCAGGCCCAGCAACGGGGGCCTGGCTCACTTGGTGTTGTCGGAGTCGATTGTGTGGAAGAGATCCTCTAGCTCTTTCTCGTTGAGGACGCCATCTGCGAAGAAGAGCTGGAACTCCTCCAAGGACAACTTCCCATCGTCTGCAAGCAAGGGAGGAAGGAGGTAGAGCAGCTGGTGTCTAAGAGATAAGACATCCCCAAATCCAGACGATTCCCAAATCAACAGATAAACTCTAGCCAGATAATCTCCGCCCGCCCAGCGAATGCCCAAATTAACCAGTAAACTCCGGGCTGCAGAAAATCACCAACTCATCCAGCTGGTTCCCAAGCCGACATATCAGCTCCCATTTACAGATAATCCCCAAGCCAGCAAACACGACAAGTAGCAGCTAATTTCCTGGGGCTCATTTACCGACAGGTTCAACGAACAGCACCTGCTCCCGGCCAGGTGCTCTTCTCTCCCGATTCGCCTGGCCACCTGGGGGTGGGTATGGCTTGCCGGAGCACCACGCTGACGCCAGGGGGTCTGAGGACCATTCTCTCTTGCTTCCAAATGCCCACATAATCCCCCCCGCCCCATACTGGCATCATCTCCAACCCCAGCACCCAGGTCCTGACTCAGGGGAGGGAACACCTCCTCACCACTCTGCCAACTTCGGGCCCAAACTTTCATACTGTCTGATGGGAGACAGCTGCCCACAGCCGTCTGGTTCTCACCCTGCCAGAGACCCAACCGGGAAGACGCCAAACCGCATGGGAAGGAGGCACCAGGCCTGCCCGGGCCCCCCGCCCCCAGCACTGGCCAGCCTCTGTGGGCCTGGGGTGGGAGGGGCTCCACAGCCCCTGTGTTCCACTGGTCCCACCCTCTGTCTCACCTCTTCTCCCTCCGCCTGTAGCCCCCCTGGACACCAGCATCTGCGGGGGGACGTCTCATGGGCTGGGGGGACGTGGTCACAGACGGAGGGACTTGCGGCAGAACCCATGACTCTGGGAGACTCAGTCCCCAAGCTTCCCCCTCTGCAACTTCCTTCTACCTGGGCGCACCTGCTGATCTCAACCCCCTGCGGCCTCCGCCCCCTCCTCAATGATCTCAGACCAGTTCCTGCTGCTCCTTAAAGGGGCCACGTCTGTGGGAGGCCGTGGAAGTCAGGGAGAGGGAAGCCCCCAGCCCCTCGGCACAGACCCCCGGCCGTTACTTCCAGCCAATCTGCAACCAAAGTCCCTGCAAGCCCATGTGGTACCTCTGTGTGGATTAGAAAGAGAGGCCCCTTCCTGGTCCGGGAAGGGGAAGGGGGACAAGGGCACAGGGTTTGGGCAGAGGGAGAGAGACCCTCTCAGCAGACCCCCCGCTGAGCGGGGCTCCATCCCAGGACCCTGAGATCATGACCTGAGCTGACCCAGAGTCGGACGCCTAACTCACAGAGCCACCCAGGTGCCCCCATTCTTGTATTTTAAAGGCTTGGGATGATCTATCTCTGCTCCCACAAACCCTGCAGGGGCTCAAAGCAGGACACAGGTACCAGCTCAGCAGAGGGAGATCCTCGAACCTTGCATGGCTTCCCTCCACCTGTCTTCCCTCTGGCCCATCAGGCCTACAGTGTCAGGCGCTGGGAGAGAGGGAGAAAATGAATGTGCTGGAGGGAGGGGTGGGCTAAGGGCAACCTCCCAGTGCGCCTCTGACATCCGGGCTCGAGGTTCAATGTCACAGAGGGAAATGAATTTGTAACTTTCAAAAACAAGAGTTCCCCGCACTACCCCCCCCCAACAAAGCAGACAAGCCCTGCCCCGCCCCTACACACACTCACAGAAAAATACAACCGTGAAAAGGACTTCACGCTACCAACTGTGAACTATGCAAGCTCCACGGTGGCTCTTTCTGTTTTTGAAAGAGAGGAGACTTTCCAAGTTTCCTCTGGCAAGACTACTGATAAAAACAAGGAGGCACCGTGCAGAACTGCGGCCGACACACAGTGTCAACAGATAAACTCTAGCCAGATAATCTCCGCCCGCCCAGCGAATGCCCATCCCAGGCCCTCTTTCTATGAGTTCAGTCTTCACAAGACCCCCATTTTACAGAGTGGTAAACCGAGACACAGAGCCGCTAAAGGATCCACAGCTGGGGACAGTCTTCTGGCGAGACCCCCGACCCCTGCCACAGGGCCGTGTGGAAGGGCTGAGGCCAGGTCTGCGCTCAGGGGAAGCGTGCGGTGATTGATTAGTCATGGCTGCCACGGGCACAGCATTGGGGGTGGTGGGGGGCATCTCTCAGCCTCCATCTCCTCCTGCCTGTCCAGGTTCCTCCACCCAGTCTGCACTCAGGAGAGCAGGCACAGAGACACCCGCCAGGCCTCCCGAGCACAGTCTGCTGGGCTGACATTTACCTTAAATGTTCTACCACGGCCCTAATGAACCCCGGTCAGCTAATGAGGGAGGTAACAGCTCCTACCCAGGCCTCTGTACCATCCGAGGAGCGGGCCTGGCACCCCCACTCCCAGCAAGGACACCAAGCAGGCCGTTTGCAGCTGTCTTCGCTAATGAGCATGAGCTCAGCCCGTCACAGTGACCTTTCAAATGCCAGGACTCTGCCTGAGTCCATGTCCCCGGAGAGAAATGCACTCTGGCACTCACCCCTCCGCTGGACGCCACCTGCCCACCCTTCCAGGCTTCGTGCCCCGGCTGTGGGCAGAGCCCTGACCCTCGGCCTCCCCTCAGGAGCCACGATGGGTCTATCTCAATGAAGACGCCTCTGCCCCGGGAGTCGCCAGCACAGGCCCTGCAGCTGGGCGACCCTGAGCAAGTCACTTAACCTCTCTGGACCACGAGGGGATTGTCAGAACAGGAGCAAACAGCACCGAGTGCATGAGGTCGTAGTGAGGAAGACACGCATCAGGGCCTGGGAAGGGCCTAGAGTGAGGCTGGGGGCTTCCTTAAAGGGTGGTTGCTGGAGACCCCCTACCTGGGCTGCTCTGGTCCAGCCCAGCTGCATGAGGGCTAACGTTCACCAAGCACCTACTATATGCAAGACATCCGGGCATCACGGACACCAGCTCACTGAATCCCTGTGGCATCCCTACTAAGTAGGAACTATGGGAATTCCACGGCATAGACAGGGAAACTGAGGCATAGGGCAGAGCCAGGATTCGGCCTTCTGACTTCAGGACATCCTGTACTTTTAACCTTTAGGTGCAAGGCTGTCCACGCCCCTACCCTGGGCCCCTGCCCCTGAAGCATCAGAACAGAAGGAGCCAGGGCTCATTCAGGCCACAGCTTGGGAGGGAAACTCACCGTTTTTGTCGGCCCGGCGGAAAATCTGCAGAGAAGAAAAGTACAGTCAGCGTGGGCCCCAGAGGGGCGGGCGCCCTCCAGTGGCTTCTGACTCATCTTGGGATCCCACACCTCCTGGGGTGGGGGGGTGCGGGGCAGCCCCTCCCCCAAGAGGAGACCCCGGCTGGGATCCAGGGCGGGACCGAGCTTCAGGCAGAGCCCTCCCAGCGGCCGAGGAAGCAGCGCCCACGCTCCTTCTGGGCCGCCGGCCTGCCCACGGCCACACTGACAGACATGCGCGCACACACGCGGACACACATGCGCGCACCCGTCCACATGCTTGCGGGTGTGCTTCCAGAGCCAGCGATCCACGCGGCCGCGCCCACTGTGCTACGCTCAGTCACACACTCAGCATCCGTGGCCCCCGGGACGCAGCCACTGCACCCCTCCCAGAGCCCCGCGGGAGCCCCGCTGTCCTCCAGGGAGGTTGATTAGGTCTAAACAGAGGTGTCTGCTAAGGGAACCTCGAGGCCTGGTGACTGGGCCAGCCAGGGGCGGGATTGGATTATTTTATGGGGGGCGGGGGGGGGTGGAAGCCAGCCACCAAGCTGGAAACCCAGCTGCAGATGCGAAGTTCTGGCTGCAGGGGGAGGGGAGGGGGGAGGTGACAGCCACCCCCCCCAAACCTGAGCTGAGACCAGATGACTACTCCTGGTATTTTTAGGACGAGAGGAGCCATGCTGATAAGAAGGAGCCAGGGGTGAGGGGGCATCACCCCCCTCTGACCATCCCACCTTTGGTTCTTGCCCTGGGGCCAAGAACAGATGTTTCCCTCCCCCCGCCCAAGCACCTGAGACTGTGACAGATTGAAGCTGAAGCTCAGGAAGGGCTTGCTCAGGCATCACCCCCTTCCCGCAGCCAAAACCCTAGCCTGGGGTACTTGGGCAGGAGCCACTGTGGCTGGGGCAGAAGGGGGAGCAATGACCAGAGCACCCAGGCCCTCCCCAAAGCCCCACCCTGGGCCCTCCACACCCCTGCTCCTGACTGCAAAGTTCCCCGAGGCCAGGGGTCCCCCCTCAGGGGTCCACGATGGCCACACCAAACAAGCAACCGAGGCAGACCTCGTGATGTGGCTCCAGGCGTCCGCTCCCCACCCCCACTCATCACTCCATCTCCCAGATGAAGAAATGGAGGCTCAGAGCCCACACACACCAGCCTGAGAAGGACCCCGGAGCCCACTACCTGTACTGTTAGAAACAGGAAGGGTCTGGACAGGGCTTCCCTGCAAGGGTGGGCCCCAGAGCTTTCCCACATGAACTATGCTGGGGTCTTGAGAGAGGATCTGGCTGTGCAAGTGTGTGTGTGTGTGGGGGGGGAGGTCTTGAGAGAGGATCTGGCTGTGCAAGTGTGTGTGTGTGTGTGTGTGTGTGTGTGTGTGTGTGTGTGTCCGCGGGCAGCCACAAGCACCCACAGCACAGTGCCCCCTGCCCTGCCCACCCACAGCACAGTGCCCCCTGCCCTGCCCAGCCCTCTCTGCACAGAGCCAACTGTGGGTTCCAGCAGAGAGGAAGGGAAGGGGCGAGGAAATCCACGCTTCCCCCAACAGTCAAACACACAGACACAACTCTCCCCAAAACCCACCAGGCACAGGACCCTCACTGGGACATGCACAACCTACAGCTATGCTGTTAGGAGGTGGGGGGGTGCCCAGGATAGAGCCCCCGCCGCCTCTCCTTCACTCTACAGAGCGAGTCTCCCACCCTCAGCAGTCCATCCTGTAGAATCTTCCTCCCACTCCTGGGGAGTGGGTGGGAGGGTGAGGTGGGCTTCCCAGAGGTGGGTGGTTTGGATCCCAGAGGGGATGGAGGGGTGGTTTGAGTAGAGGGTATGGAAGGAGTGGAGGACAGAGGGGGCTCCTAGGGGAGTGGGGGGTGGTGGGGGCTGGCAGCCCAGAGGGGTCCAGGCTCAGAGCAGATGGGGGTGGCCCCAGCTCTCCTGAAAGAAGAGGGGAAGACACAGGTGGGGAGGGGGCTTCACTTTCAAAGAGCTGGTGCCTGGGGTGAAAAGGGAAAGTGCTTTGGGGATGAGAATGCATGGGCTCAGGGTCTATGGCCAGGATGAGAAAAGGGGCCCCGGGAGCCAGAGGCTGGAAGGGGAGGGGGTCTCAGGAGAGTAGCGATTCAGGCAGGGATCTGGGATGGAGAGGAGAAGGGGGCTGGAGGCGGCAGGGGCTCTCGTCCCGACAGGGATGAGGGTAAAGGGTGGGGTGCAGGGCTGGGGAAAGGGTAAGGGTTCGGCCAGCACAAAAGTAGGGGGGCGGTGGCCAGGTCGAAGGGCTCCAGGGTCCCGGCTCCGAGAAGGTGGGGATCCCGAGAAATGGAGGGAGGGGGCGGGAGGAGGAGGACCGTCCTGGTCCAGGGGCGAGGCTAGACTGGGATGGAGACCGGACGGGACACAGAGGGCCTGGGGTCGCGCTCTGGGACGCAGAGGGGAAAGGGCCGGGGGTCACCCGCCCGGGGAGGAGGGGGCCTCGCGGGTCCCGGCGGGGGCGCAGGAGGGCGGCGTCGGGAGCGCCCGGGTGGGAGGAGGGGGCTCGGGGTCCCGGCCGGCGCGTACTCACGTCCAGGATGACGGCGGTGCCCCCGCGCGGCGAGCCGGGCCCGGGGCCGGGGCTGGGGTCCGCAGCGGGGGCGTCGTGGGCGTCGGGGGCCAGCGGCGCCCGGGGCTCGCCCATCCTGGCGCCCACCCAGCGCAGCAGCCCGCCCAGCGCCCGGCCCTGCGGCGGCGGCTCCCGGAGCAGCCTGTGCGCGCCGGCCCTGCACAGGCGCGCCGCCCGCTCGCACATCGCGCCGCGCCCGCCGCCGCCGCCCGGAAACCCGCCGACCCCCGCCCGGCCCGCGGCCCGCCCCCGCGCGACCCCTCCCCGCCGCCGCCCGCGCCGCCCCCCCCCCCCCCCCCCCCCC